GAACAGGTAGAGCAGCAGGGGGTCCTTGGGAAACCCACACCTATGGAACCGGCTCCCCTTCCAGGGGTCTGTGCATCTTGCCCTGCATGGGAGGAGTTTTCAAATCATGTCACATCAGAACTTTGATGTTTCTCCTACTCTGGGCAGGTTCCGGGTGCCCCAAAGCGCTAGACATGGGAATTAGGCACAGGGGAGCAGTTGAATCAGGCTACAGAAGTTCTTCGTCGAGCTTCTTGTGAATTCGAATGGGCTGAAAACTGTGCGTTAGTCAAATGAACCCAGTGGGATAAATAGCACGCACTATGGAGGCTGTGAGTGGAATTTAGTTTGTGGCTCTCGGACGGAGAACTGATGTTCCGAGGCCCCCTTTTTCTGACATTTTTGTCTCGTTTTGTAGGATGGTATTTCATTTGACTGACTTGTCCGGAGCATTTTCTGGATAATACGATATGTTACGAACAATAGGATCCCACACTCAGAGCCACAATCAAAGTAGAGTAGTCGTACGGTACAATGACAGGGACTTAGAATTAACTGTGACAGAGCCATGATGTCATCTCCTAAGCAAGTAATACAATCTTACCTTTAGAAAGCGCTCTGGGAGGTAATCAGCTCCCCGGCATGTTAAATGTCTTCTGGGGTTTTTTCCTTTAACCTCCCAGCCGATCAATGTGTCCTCCTTGAAAGTGGAGCCTGGGCAGGCCAGCTAGGAGGCAGATGTGCCTTCACCTGAACTGGGCCGCATGCCCCATTTATAACTCCCGCCAGCCGGGAGTTTGACATGCTTGACCTCGATGCTCTGCCTTGCTGCTGCAGATTCTGTTTGGCAATGCATCCGTGGATAGGTATTTCACTATATCTAAACTTGCCTCAATTGGATCTTTCTAGTGTGTGCTGGTGCCAGGAACGTGCCGTAGGAAATGAGGGCTTTGTTTCCCTGTTTTTGATGTCTAACCATTGGCATGCTTGTTCGCCCCCAGGAGGACAACAACACAGCGCTGGTCGACAAACTGAAGCGATGTCAGCAGGAGAACGAGGAGTTAAAAGCTCGGATAGACAAACACATTGCGATTTCAAGGTAAAGAGAAAAGAGTCCAGTTTTTCCCATCTCCTCCTCCTACGTTTAGTGTCACTGGACCTCACACCCGCCCAGGCGCCTCCTGGGAGCGGGGTTGCAGAGGGTGGTGGAGCAGGTGCTGGTTTCTACCTGGGAAGCATGCTGGTGGCACTTCATGGCCTGACTGTCGGGGCCTGGGCTGGGCGCTGAGACCTAGGCAGGCCAGCCTCCCCCAGAGCCCCTGACTTAGTGGCGCTGAGATGCCTTCAGAGAGAGAACATCACAGGACCCACTGGGGAACCGCCCCACACAGGACAATCACGTGACATTCAGATGATCTGTGGGAGCGTCACGGAGCCTCCTGTGACATTGGCCCCAAAGAGCAGCTTTCTGTTTGGCTCCCACTTCCTGGGTTTCTTAGGCAGCCAATACCCATGCCCAGTAGCCCTGGGCAGGACTGCCTTTTATTATTTCAAAGGGGTCATTTTTCTGGACTCTCAAATTTAAAAAGGCAAGAACATTTTTTTTCAAGTCCATTTTTTAGAAATTCAGATCCATGCTCAGCTGGGTGTGGCTCAGTGGTCATGGTTCGAATCCTGGTCAGGGCACAGGCCTGGGTTGCAAGCTGATCCCCTGTAGGGGGCGTGCAGGGGACAGCCGATCAATGACTCTCATCATTGATGTTCCTCTCTCTCCCGCTTCCTCTCTGAAATCAATAAAAATAAAGACCCACGTGGTTTCTGGCTTTTTTTTGTCTTTAAGGCAACTGTCCAACGAGCAGGCCACCCTGCAGGAGTGGCTGGAGAAGGAGTCGAAAGTCAACAAGCGCCTGTCCATGGAGAACGAGGAGCTGCTGTGGAAGCTGCACAACGGGGACCTGTGCGGCTCCGACAGGTCCCCCTCGTCCCCCGCCATCCCCTTCCAGTCGCCGCGCAATTCCGGCTCCTTCCCCAGCCCCAGCGTGTCGCCCAGATGACACTTCTGCCCGCGGGAGACTGTCTGAGAGCACCGTCACAGGTCCGCAGGGCTGACCCACACCGTGGTCCAGGGATCAAGAGCCACGTGGGCCGACGTGTCGTGACCGCCCTAGAACTGGAACGTCTTGACCCCCTGCACCGGCTCCTTGGGAGACCGGAGCTCAGGAGGAACACGTGGCTCTCTGGCCGAGGGGCTCCTCCCCAAAGGATTTCGGAATCGATCTGCACGGACATTTGCACAAAGCACTTAAAGAACATTGCCTTTTCCACGTAAGCATAAGGGGGAAAACTCTCAGGGGCCTCTTCAGATAAAGATTTATAAGCTTTATAATGTTCTTCGCCACAGGCACCTTCTTGTGATTTTTATTTGGGGGACGTGTGAATAAAAGGGATGTAGCGAGTGTCCTGTGTCTGATGCTGCCTCCTTTGCTGTGTACTGCAAGTCAAAAGCTGCATATTTCCGGGTCTGTACTAATCAGCTAAGTCAGTGTATGCATCTCTGCAAAAAGCCATAGAAGGAAGAGCAATCGTTGCTTGAATGATGACGCCCTCTGCCACCCACTCCGCCCCGCCCTTGGACACGGGGTGGGGTGGGGAGTGACAGGAAGCGTTCCGACTGGTCCATGTCTGTGCAGTGTCTGTATCCTTTGGAAGTTTCTTGGCATTCTTTCAGTGTTCAGCCATGTCGGTCAAAACTAACAAGTTTGTGTTTTTTCCTGTAGACTTTTAATGTTCCCATGTGAACCTAACATTTTACAACGATCCATTTTCTCAGGCTACGAGCAAATGTAAAACCCCAATTTTTCTAAAATTCTGTAAAAAGAAAAGGGGCGGCAGCAGTGGATTGCTCCCGCCTTACGTTTACCGTGACCTAAGCTGTCCTCACTGATGTCAACTGTTGTCTTCTCCCCTGAGCCCCGCCTCCTCCCTTTCTTTCCTTCCCCCAGCCAGAGCCACAAAGGCAACCCTCCTACCTCCTTCCTATTCTCTGGGACAAGGCTAGTGGCACATGCTTTTCCAGAGCCAGCTCATCCTCAAGGTGCTCACACCACGCTCCAAATAAGCCACAGCCTGGACCTGAGAGTACAAGTTTTGGGAAACCCTAGAAGGAATATAGAACGAGAGAGTCATTGGCTCATGTTTATCAATGAACAGGAGTACCTTGATGAAACCAACGATGCAGCATCTCATAGAAGATCATGCCAAGTTCCCATGCACCCTTTGAGTAACTTTCTGTCTTTGGGGAGGTAGAATGGCCAGCTTCCGAGTAGAAAATGTGGCTTTTCCTACTCGTAGGCCTCTCCTCCAGGTTGCATTTCAGTTTCTCTTCCAAACTTCACTTATTACCTCCCCCAGTTCTCACACTTTGGGGGAGGTGGGAGGAAGCACTGTGGCTTCCCCGCCCCACCGCCTACCCCTGCACGGGTCAACATGGTGATGTCAGTACTTACTGATCTGCATTGCTGACGTCTGATGGCTGTACAGATAGCCCCATGATAAGAACGGGTTCAGGATACTAGAGGGGGGTCTTTGAGTCATCATTACATGTACATTACATAGCAAATTAGTATTCATGATGCATGGTGTTTTCTTTTTAATTATTAGTGATTGTGTCTGAAGTCTAGGCTTCACTAGTGTAGTGTGTATGTTACCTTCCGTGTGTGCTTCTGATGAACGGGAATAGGCCCACTGCCACCTTCCGAGATCTCTCTCTGCTTACCCTTTCCAGCTGTGCTCAGTGTCATTAGCCGAAGTTGGATTTGCCACCCGTGCCCGCGCATGGTAAATCTCGTGCTGATCCCCGCTCTCCTCCATACCCTTTAGGTGTCTGGGGAAACCAATCTTACACAGTTAGCATAAAGTGTCTTCAGAGACAACTGGAGGGAAGGTAGGAAACAACATGGGGAACTTGAAGATTGTTTTCAAACCAAATGTTTCACGTAGGATGTACAATGTCGGCACGTCGTACCGTATACGGATGTGTAAAAACTGTAATTGTGCTCAGTTTGTAATGATGCAAAGTGTATTTTTACCTTGATTAAATAAACTGCTGGAATATTTAATATAAGAAGTGCAACCTGTGACATACTTCACTCTCCCAGGGGCTACCCAGCGTACAGCCCTTCTCACAGCCCAGGCGTCAATGCTGTGCCTCCTCCTCAGCCATTTCCCAGGAATTTTCCAACGCAACCACAAAACAGGCCATGGGCTGAAATTTGGCTCACAGAGCTAAGCTTAGAATGAAGCTTCTCTTTTCTAAATTCAAAGCTGTGTGTTTTAGAGGAATAACTTTTGACTGGTTTTAACAATTTCCGCTCTTTAAGGTGAGAAAACTATGGTCTAAATATTTTTTTGCAGATGCTACAAAAGGTCTAAATGAAGTTGAATTTTCCTTGATCTGCATACCTATTTTATATTGAAAATTAAGCTTTTAAACACACATGCTGTAAATCTTTCTGAATGTACTAATCTAGAACTAGTTACTTCTGAGTGCAGCCTTTTTTTTTTAATAAAAAGCAAGTTTCTATGGGTTTTTTTGGATACTTCCATATCATAGTTCATATATAGTTACTACATTTTTAGATGCTCATGTATTGCGATTAAAATCAAATGGAAATTAAGGTTAACCCAAACATCTCTACCAACGAGTCCTTCTGCCAACCTAAAACACAAGCACTTAGAGGCCAGTTTTACATTTATTTTACAAAAACTTGATCATTTAATAGAGATGATTACATAAAGTTGTTCACATATATGCTCTCTAGGTATAAAAACCAGAAGTGCATATACGTAGGTAAGCAATCAGAAGACATGCTTTCTGTCCGAGGAGTTAACACGCCTATTCTTAGACCGGGTGACTTCCTGTGTGTTTGGATGTCTGGGTCTTACTCACGAGGCGGGGACTGGGGTTTGGCGCTGGACATCGGCCTCTGGCAAAGCCCGAGTCACAGGACGCCCGAGCTGGTGGTGTGCGCACGTGGGCTTCCCGTCAGTCCATGGCACTTCGCTTTCCAAGTCAGGAAAACTCAACAGTGGTAGCGACTGTGGTCTGTCCTTGGAGGTTCTGGGCCGTGCAAATGTAATATCCCGCGTCAATGGTCTCAAAGTCTTCCA